CCATTCGGCTGTGCCAGCGTCGCCAATGTTGTGACAGAGTCCTCTTCGCGAGAGAGATCCAATTCAGCAATCGAAACACTCTCATGCCTCGAAGACGCGTCAAAGGCTGTGATCTTGTTCGCGACACCACTCTTGTTCTCTCCTCCGCCGCCTCCAACTAGGACGTATGGCCTGTATGGATCCCAGCATGCCGCATAGGGTGGATAGGAGAGCGTGTTCTTCGTGAAGGTTGTACGTGAGGACATTGTTGTGAGAAGATGGGATGTAGAGGTTCAAGGGTATCAATGTTTCGTATTCATTGACATTGCAAAGCGAGGTGCCATGTTGAAATCGAACTGCTGCAGGTGATTGCTACTTGCCAGAGCTGAAGCTCCAAGTAGCTAGTGGACAGTGTGGCTTGGTTATCTCTCCCGACAACAATCACATGCCGTCCGGCGGCGGCCACATCCCGACACTTTTTTCAAACGTTTCTCAAACGCTCCAAAAAATCGGAGCATCCAACTGCAGCTTCAGTGGATGCAAAAACTGCAAAAGTTATGACATGAGTGAGGTTCGAACTCACGCGGGTTGCCCCAGTAGAGGATTTGGTTCCAATCAGTATGTGAAGAACTTAAATCTACCGCCTTAGACCACTCGGCCATCATGCCAAAGTATTTCTTGGCACGTCGTTCAGTCATATGATGCTTGTTCAATTGACCTGTCAAAAAGCGAGCGGAAGCTTCTTGGCTTACGACGGAGCGGAGCACCATAGGTGAATGCTTGTCGTGGAGGACTGCCCCGCCGTCTGTACATGAGTCAGATCCGTCAAGAAAGTGTTTTCTGTTTGGTTGTTCGGTGACGCAGTCATCAAAATCCGAGCTTTGTGCCCCACTGCATACACCTAATTTCGCACAGTGCATTTGCTACGCTCAAGGTACTACAGTAATGGCCGACTCTGAGCAAGCAATACCGGAGCGCCCGAAGGAGGAGGAAGAGAAAGGACCTTCTAAGAATGCCTTGAAAAAAGCGCAAAAAGAGAAAGAAAAGGTCGATCAGCCTCTAGCATAACTTTGGTCTTCTACTCACGCGTCAAACAGGCCGAAAAGAAGCGCCTCGCACAGGAGAAAGAAGCTGCCCAGAAAGCTCAATCTGAAGGCGAAGATGTGTCCAAGGAAGACTATGGCGAGACGCCTATGATTGGATCCGCGGAGTACAAGAAGCCTATTTCGAAAGACCAGCGAAAAACCCTTGCCGAAGTGTCTGACATTGCCGACAACGAAGAGGTCGCGCTACGCTGCGTAGTACGCAATGCGAGGAGCCAGTCCGCAAAGCTTGCCTTTCTGGAGTTGCGCGATGGAATGCACAGCATTCAGGCTGTTGTTGCCGCGAGCGAAAAGTTGAGCAGGCAGATGGTCAAGTTCGCAAGTGGCATCAACCCGGAATCTCTGGTAGATGTCGAAGCACTCGTTCAAAGCCCTAGAGACCCAGTCAAGAGCACGACAATCAGTAACAAGGAGCTCCACATCAAGAAGATATACGTCGTTTCCAAGTCCGAGTCTCCGCTTCCTATCCAAATCGAAGATGCAGAGCGTGCTCTGCCCGATGACGAGAAGAAGGTCGAAGAGCAGACTGATGCCGAGAGTGGTCGACCCTTACTGGGTCTGAACACACGGCTGGACAATCGTGTGCTCGACTTGAGGGCATCCCTGAACCATGCGATTGTCGAGATCAAGGGAGGCGTCTGTCGATTGTTCTCTGAATACATGTGGCAAAACCAGTTCCAGCAGATCTGGACACCAAAAATTCTGGGCTCGCCTTCTGAAGGCGGCGGTAACGTATTCGAGCTCAAATACTTCAACATGGCTGCATACCTTGCCCAAAGTCCCCAACTATACAAGCAGATGATGGTATCGTCAAGATTCAAGCGTGTGTTCGAAATTGCGCCTGTCTTTCGAGCGGAGAACAGCAACACGGCACGCCACTTGACCGAGTTCATGGGTCTCGATTTGGAGATGGAGTTCGTCGACGACTACCAGGAGGTCACGAAGTTCCTGAAGGCTTTGGTCTTGCATATCTTTGAGGGGCTACGAAAGGACTACAGCAAGCAGACCGAGCTGGTCCGAAATGTCTACAAAGTCGAAGAGTTCAAGATTCCCAAGGAGGTTGCCGATGTACCCCACTATACGTTTGCTGAAGGCATCGAGATGCTGCGCGAAGATGGCGACAAGGAAGCCAGCGAGCTTGAAGACCTGAGCACGCCACAGGAGAAAAGGCTCGGCAAGCTCATCCTCGACAAGACGGGTTCCGACTTTTTCGTCCTCGACAAATTTCCTCTCGGTGTTCGACCGTTCTATACCATGCCTGCACCGGAGGATTCCAAGCTTTCCAACTCATACGATTTCTTCATGCGAGGTCAGGAGATCTGCTCGGGCGCACAGCGTGTTCACAACGCTGAATTTCTGAAGCAACGAATGAAGGGTATGGACCCGCCGCTTGATCCGGAGGGACCGGGCTTCAAACCCTACGTCGAGGCATTCAAATACGGATGTCCTCCGCACGCTGGTGGTGGCTTTGGGCTAGAGAGGATCGTGATGCTGTGGTTGGGCTTGCCTAA